ATTCCCACCAGGTTCCTACAGGAAGAGACGACATATTGAGATTGCTCTGCTGCAAATCGGCCAAGGCTAACTGAAAAAAGACTTTAAAATAAATTTTTACTGATCCATACAGCAGAAGATGAAGTTAAAGGAGTCATTTTAATGGCAAAAGGAGAAGCTGTTGATTAAATGGATGAGTGTGGATTGTTATGATGAAGAAGTTCCTCTATAGGAATAATGAAAAAAAAAAAAAAGCAAAATGTAACACAGAGACACAGCAGACAGAATGTGGAGGCATAAACTTAAAGAATGAAGACCAAGTAAAAGTTACGGCACACCTGATTGGCTAAAAGAAATAACATCTCTCTCATATCGATGGCCCAGAGAAACGGGGTCATTAAAGTTCTTCAGATCTGACCAATTGTATGAATATAAAGTTCATAGTCAAAATATCAACAATCTATTTCAATTATCTTTTTTTTTACTTGAAAACTTTTTTTTCATAAACTGCAGCAGTCTATTAACTAGTTTGTTTCAGAATCAATGCAATCTCTCCAGCTACACCAAACAGGCTAATAAATCATTAAAATCTATGGATGAAAGTCAAAGTAAACATTTCTTAAATACTGTGCCAATGTAAGTTTGAGATATCAGCCTGATTTTAGAGCCAATTAACGTTTTACCCATGAATCTTAGCAAATCCAGTGATGAGTGTGGTTCCATATCGAGCTTTAAATTCCTGGAAGCGGCTCCCATCTGTCAGACGACTCACGATCTGAACAGGAAAAGAAAATCCAAACATTATGGCTCTGAACCTGCTCGGCCTGCATAGCAAACCATTTGGTGCAGCCGTGTTTTTTCCAGGTGCCTTACCATCTTAACATCCAGAGTGTGGCTATAGTTCTGAGGAGCGAGTCCCAGGAGCTCCTCAGAGCTGTGCAGAGGCTCCTCTCCTGCTCTCCTCTTTGCTGTGTCCTCCTCCTCTTCAGGCAGTTGGAAGTTCAGGGTGGAGATTATGTTTCTTGTCTGATCAAACGCCTCCTTCTCCTCCCATGCAAAGTGATCCACACAGCCGCTCACCCTAAAACGGGGCAGCAAGCAGACAGCTGGAGATATGAACTCACTCATGTCCACGGCCTTGGTTTATGGTTCTTACTCTGCGTGGAGTCGGGCCCCTCCCAGGTCCTCTGGTGACACCTCCTCTCCTGTAGCGGCTTTGACGAGCGGAGGGCCTCCCAGGAATATGGTTCCTATTCGGTGCACCATCACCGCCTCCTCTGCCATCGTGGGGACGTACGCTCCACCCGCAGTGCATGACCCGCACACGAGCGCCACCTTTAACATCATTAACCGTAATTAATTGACACGGAAAATGATAAAGATACTGAAAATTATTATTTTATTGCCGTGGCATATGAGAAATGTCCGAGCTCAGGTGCCTCAATCGACTCTAATACGAGTTCTTAAATAAAATGAAGTTTCTTTAAATAAAAAGCTGAGTTTTTGATTTGTCTAAATTAGTAATCCATTCCTTTTTTTTTTTTTTTTTTTACTTTGCAGTATAAATATAACAAAAAAAAAAAGATTCACATTTTTACCAAATAAAGGTCTCCTTTGCCCCTGGTTATTTGGGCATTTATCAGGGAGGTGATCCCCCCCAGCGAAGGAAGCTGATGAAGTTGTAGACATTTATGCTCGTTTTTAGAGAAAATATTCACAGACATTGTAAAATGTAATATAAACAATCTTTATTTTTTTATTGCATCAAATTGCAATCACATTTGCCCTCTGCATTTAACCCCACACTTTGATGGATGAGTGGGCTGGTCATTCAAATGTTAATATGGAAAATATTCAACACAATTTATTTCTTCTATTAACACAGCTTTGGCTCTCATAGCAAACAGGACCAAAAACATTTAATAAGTTTTACTAAAAAAAATCATGAAACGAGACCAATATTCTATTTTGAGCATAAACTAATTATTGTTTTCTTTACTACCTCAGATGAGCGAGAACCTTCTGATGTTATGGATCCATTATGATTCATAGATCTGCTTTCTAAAAAATCTGACTTCTTTGTTTTATTCAAATGTTACAAGTTTAGTTTGTTAATGACAAGATAAAAACAAAATAATGGTCAGTATGTTTATTTGTGTGCTTCAAAGAAAGCAAACAGTAGTTTTTGTGACCAATAAGTACTTCTAACTTGACACTTTAGTGGCATAAAGTTTAAACTGCGAGCTAGCTACATACTATCCCGCTGATTCGGGGCACACACTGAAATATTCTGACCTATAATGAGAAACGTAAACAATTGGAGATTATTGGAAATCTATTAGAACTTCAACTGGAAATTTACAGTGAATCCAGCCTTTGATTTAGCTTTTTAACAACAATATTTATCTGCCAAGGTAAGGCTGGGAGATATAACATAAAAAAAACAAAATCACAATTAATTAAGCAGTTTTACCTCAATAACGATTAATGCATTATTTTTTTTATATCCACTTTGCTTTTATATTTTTAAAAATTTTGTTGTGTTTCTTCTTTTATTTTTTATCTGTGATTTGTGAAATGTGAACGTGTGTGTGAAAGGTGTACTACTACTGCACAAAAATTGCCCATACTGGGACAAATAAAAGCTACTAAACTGATAAATGCTCCGGCTCCTCTATCAGAAATAGAGGTGTGTGCAGGAAATGCAACTGATCTATTTATAATTAACTTATTGAATAAATCACATTTCAGATTAATTTCAATTAAATATTAAAGGTTTAAATCATTCAGGTTTAAATGTTCAACAATGTCTCATTGAACAGGAGAAAAAGGTTACTTCTGATGCACACATTTTTGCGCAAAGGTAATGGAGCATTTTGCGAACCTTTGAACGTGGCTCTGCTGTAGGTGGTGGAGGTTGGATGGGTTACTTTGGTTAGTTCTAATCGTTTTTAGGCAAACCTTGCATTTCATCGTCTTTTGCTCAATATTTATTTGGTGCCACCGAACTGAGCATGCAATGAGATCAATGTGCATTGTTTAAACTCACACATCCTCACTCAAAACCAGTCTGCCGCATGCAAAACTCTGACAACGCCCTCGATTTCTTCTCTGCACACTCAGCTTCATCTCTGCTCTCGCTCGGCTCCACATGATTAACTGATGTAATTTAATTTACAGCTGTGTTAATCGCTTTTTCACCGAGTCCCTCCTCTATTCTCTTTGTCTACATTTTTGACTGGATCGAAGTGATTAGACACTTGTGCCATGTCCTAAAGGGGAAGGAAATACCAGCCACCAGCGCACACACTAAAAACGGCACAAGTAAGTTTACTTCTTTCACCTACCATAGGAACATTTTCGACCGGTTATCGTAGTGAATAACGATAAAAATCAGGTTTATCGCCCAGCCCTATGGTAAGGTACCTCATTTCCACTGTTAAACACGGTGATAGATATGTGATGCTGTGGGCCTGTTTTATGTCACAAAAACTCCAGAGTTCCTTTTAGAAAGCATGACCCAGGACGTATAGAAAGATTTTTGATTGAGTGAGTATTTTCTACCTGTGGAATCTTCATGGCAGACATGATGGCTTCATTATAGAAGGTTCTTCCTCCCTGGTTCTTATCAGGAAAAATCTCCGACTGGACAGTTCATTGAAGGAGGGAATTAAGAGTGAAAAATGGCTGTTAGTATGATCCGTCTATCTGTCGCTGTCCTGAAAGAAAAACTTTTTTTTTGGGCATTCAGACCTGCAGAGGTAGGAAAGCTCCACCAGAGTCTACCAGGTAGACACAAGGCAGGCGGTTCTGAATGGCTACCTCTTGTGCCCTCAGCTGCTTCTTCACTGTGATTGGATACGCGGTGCCGCCTTTCACTGTGGCATCATTGGCGATAAACACACACCACAGACCATTGATCCGACCGACGCCTGGATACAAACACACGCACACACACAGGGTGAGCCGTAGAGTCAGAACAGTCAGAGAAACGCAGTCAGACTGGTTTAGATATGCAGCATAGTACCAAAGACACAGCTAGAGGTTTCTGACCGGTCAGGCAGCCTGCTGAAGGGATGTCCCCGTACGGCAGACCCAACCCGGCGAACGGCGAAAGCTCCAGGAAGTCGTCATCGTCCAACAGGAGGCTGAGGCGCTCCCTGACCAGCAGCTTCTTGTTTCTCTGAGTGTGTCTGGCTATGGCGTTCTCGCCTCCGCCTCTCATCACCTTCTCCTTCAACTCCGTGTACCTAACAAGTAGAGACTGGGTGTTAAAGATGGAAAAAGACAGAAAGGTTGACGGTGTCAGAAGTAGATGCCTCGCCTACCCAAGACACTAAAATACAATACAACAAAATTAGATCAACATCTTCATCATGGAGAATAAAATTAACAGATGACATGAAGTAAAATCTAAGTTTTTTGTCTCTGATTTCTGTACATATTGTTTCGCAAAGTCTTCGACCACTTATTTGATTAACTGACTGATCTTTAACCCGTGGTTAGCAGCGCCACGAAGCAGAGGGGACTTTTCCTCTGCAGACCTGAGCTGAACCTACTTCCTTTGGCAGGCGCTGCTGTTCCTCAGGTTTGCCTCATAGACGTGGCGCTGGATGGGCTGCAGGGGGCGCTCCAGCACTGGGAAGGCGCTGCGAAGAGCTTTCCGATTTCCTGCCTCTGAGCTGGCATAGCGAACGGAAAATGGCTCAGCAAATCTGCAAAACAAAATTCAAATGAGAGTGATTTAAAAAGTGTTTTGCAAAGGTATACATGAAGGTTAGCACATTACGACGGTTTAATATATATCTATTATTATTATTATAACCAAACTGGTTTACTAAAATTTTTTGCTCATTCTTTTTTTACAGACTAACTCAAACTTAACAGAACAACAGTCTTTCCTCAGACGTTCCATTGGATTTAGGCCTGAACTGTGACTGGGCCATTCTATTAGGATAATATGCTTTAAGATAAAGCATAGTTTTGGTTTTATGAAAAGTGTTCTCATCCCAAGTTGAACCTCTGCTTAACTCTCTACTCTTCTGCAGCCTTAAACCAGTTTTTAAGTATTATCTGCAGATAATCTCCAATCCAGCTTCCCATCCACCTGGATCAGCTTCCCTGTGGCTAAACTAATGAAGCAGCCCACTACTATGTTTTATTATGGAGATGGTCAGATGGCGTCTCTTCAACACACACAGCGATCTCCAAGAAATTACTACTTTATGAACAATTGAAGGATTGCATCAACACTCTTTAGAAATACTGGATAAAAAGTCTGCATAAACTGCAAAAAGTTAACTAAAAGTAACATTTTATTGGAACAAGTGTGTTTGTACCCGATTAGAGTAATGAAATGTCAATGGAGTAAGATTTTTGGAGTTGAAATAAAAAAAGGGTTTTGTTTTTTTCACCATCTGCACTCACTGGCAGGTCGTTGTATAGATTAGGAATAAAAGATTAAGTCACATGATTGTTACATTGTAAAACTAAATTAACTGATTTTAAAAAAAATGGAAACAGATGTCCAGCTTGCAACTGTCACTCATCTACATAAAATGGAATTTATCATAGACCATTTTAGGATTATTTTCAACTTTTACTTTCAATAGGCTACAACGAGGGGGTTGGTGGCATAGTGGGGGACAGTGGGGTGCCATTGTGCAGCCCACTGTCCCCCAAGGGGATGGGTTAAATACGGTGGATGGTTTAAAAGTCAGAATTCTAAGAAAAAAAGTCAGAATTCTGAGAAAAAGGTCAGAATTCTGGGGGAAAAAAGTCAGAATTTTGAGATTAAAGTCAGAATTCTGAGATTAAAGTCAGAACTCTGAGATTAAAGTAAGAA